GTCTTTTTTGTATAGACACAGGAAGACAGTTGATGCTATGCTATGTAACTTGGGAGTTAAATTATTTATTAATTTATTATTTATTATTTATTATTGACTCCAAAATACCTGTAACAATGTGGGTCTCACTCTCCTAATCCCGAAAGAGCATTGAAATGACTCTTTTAAAATCTCAGGGCTAGGAAGAAGGAGACGTTACTGGTGCCTGCTGGAGGAACTCGACGAACAACAGGATGATCGTGATTGTGATTGACTCCAAAATAATATTTACTCCTGGGCATCCATATTTACTTGACTTAAGCCTCAGTTGCCCTTAGTTTCCAGCACTCCAAGAGCATGGTACCAATGAGGGATTGATGGACCCAGGGCAAGCTCTGAGCTACCCTGGCATCAAAACGGGCCAGGTCAAGCGCCATAATACTTAACTATAAGTCAAGAGCATGGTCATGGACAAACTCTGTCATGACCCCAAAAAACGTGGTAACTGAATAAGGACCCTGCTGGGGTTAGGAAAGACTAACCTGGCCTGAGGAATGTGGTCTGGAATATAAAGTGTGATGTCTCCAGGAAGAACCAAACTTTAAGCTTAATATATCTCTTACTGTGCTCATACAAAAAGGACGCTGCTAACTAAACTGTACAAATGACAGAAAGGAAAGAGAAAAGCAACTGAGGATTATTGGCGCCTGTTGGAATTGGGTGTGTCTCAGTTGCACTGTGGTGAGAGTGAGTCAATAAACTGTAAACTCTCTGCAGAAGCAGCAAGGACAACCCAGTGTTATCCAACACTCCTCCGCCTACTTGAAGGCTCCCCTCCACTCTAGACTTTCCCCCCTTCCTGTCATCTCCCCAGCCCCCCTCCAGTGCACGTTTCCTACTGAATATCAGTTAGAAAGTAGAGCTTCAGCTTCTTTGCACCCTGGTGAGCTTCATGGGGTGCTGTCTTGCTACATTTTCTCCTCGCGTACTCCGTGGAGGGTCTTCCTTCGATGCCTACAGCCTCTGCTTTCCTCCTGCTTCTTTCCTTCTTTCTAGGGCTCTCTCCCCCTGCTCAGGGGACATCTGACCCTCCAAATGACATGACCCTTTTAGAGCTCCAGTCCCCAAATCTATCTTCTCCCAGGCAGAGCTGCGTCTCAGAGTCAGAAGTGGTGCCCTTGCTTGAGCCTGTAATGGAGCCAGGGGTTGGCCTTGGAACGGTTCCTCAGCCAGGCTGATGCCTGTTTCTTCCTCCTTCCCCCTGGGCTTCTTGACACAGGGACAAACCTCACAGCCTCTTCCCTGTCTTCCTCATAGTCACGAGCTCTCAGACTGGCCAGTTGCAGAGAACGTCCATTGGTGCTGCAGTTCCTTGAAGTTGTCTTTATTATTTATTTATTTATTTATCTCTTTATTTAATTTACTTATTTATCTCTAGTTCTCACTCTCAGAGAAACTGGCAGGCTACTGAGAGTATCCTGCCCGCATGTATGCCTGACTGGAAACACCTTAAAGGTGATTAGAGGCTGCCCCAAAAGGCTCCATCCCTCTCAGAGAGCCCAGCAAGCTACCGAGAGTATCCCGCCTGCAAGGCAGAGCCTGGCAAGCTACCCGTGGTGTACTCATATGCCAAAAACAGTAACAATGATGGTCCTCATTCCCCTGACCCTGAAAGAGCTCCCAATATGCCATTGGGCTACACTAGCATCTGACAGGGACGAATGGGGATGTTACTGGTGCCCGCTGGTGCAAATCAATGAACAACGGGGTGATAGTGATAGTGACTGTGATTTATTTATTTATGTCTTTTTGGGTCACATCTGGTGATCCTCAGGGGTTCCTCCTGGCTCTGCACTCAGGAATTACTCTTAGCGGTGCTTGGGGGAACCATATGGGATGCCTGGGATTGAACCAGGGTCGGCTGCCTGCAAGGCAAACGCCCTCCCCGATGTACTCTGGCTCTGGCCCCAGTTATCTTCTTATACCCACTGTTTTAGGTGATGCGCCTTCCAAAGTCATCAGGAAAGTCCACTCTTGGGGATGATGTTGCCTTGTCTAGGTCCCTGAATGTAATTCAGGGCTTCCAGGCTCACCATCCAGCGGCACTACCACAATTTCCCAGCTCAGTGGTGGGATTTCAAGGCTGGAGTTTGGTGCACCAGTGACCTAGATGGATCTTTTATGGTGTGTGTGTGTGTGTGTGTGTGTGTGTGTGTGTGTGTGTTTGGAAAGGGAGAGGTCCCTGTATGTGGCACTCTTTCCCCTACTCTTCTCCCTGTCCGGCCACTCCTCACCCCTCCAGGTTTGGAATTTTGAACTGGAGCCTATTTTGAAAGCTATTGCCTTTGTGCTTATCCATGTGGCGAACTTCCAAACACGCATCTGAATCAATGACCTGTTTTCCTGGGAATTCAAATGTTACTCTGTGAAGAAAGCTGAAGTGTCCACTTTTCTGCTGTTATTTGTGGTATAATTTAAACACCTATCTGTTTCGGCATCAGAATAAAAGTATTATTGGTGATGATTTTCCACGTCATGTTCTTTTTTTTTTTTTTGCTTCAACCCTTAAATTTTTTTAAAATGAATCACAGTGAAAGACACATTTACAAAGTTGTTTGTGATTGGGTTTCAGTCATATAATGTTCCAACACCCGTCCCTTCACCAGTGCACATTTCCCACTACCAATGTCCCCAATTTTCCTCCTGCCCCCATCCACCACTTCCTGCTGCTGTGGCAGGCTCTCTTCTCTCTCTCTCTCTTTCTCTTTTCTCTCTCTCTCTTTCTCTCTCTCTCTCCTTTTGGGCATTATGGTTTGCAATACAGATACCGAAAGGTTGTCATGTAGATAACTACTTGCAACACTCAGTTCTTGTCCAGCATGATCATTTCTAAGTATTATTGTCATAGTGGTTCCTTCTCTACCCTAATTTCCCTTTGCTCTACACGCATTTGTGGCAAGATTCCAACCATTGACCGGTCTTCCTGGCCCTTGTTTTTTTTCTGGTCTTGGATATTAGTCTCATACTATTTTTTATATCTCACCAGTAAATAACAGTCATTCTATATCTGTCCCTCTCTTTCTGATCCATTTCTTTCAGCATGATACACTGTCACTGTCCTCTGTCCACTGTCACTGCTCATTGATTTGCTCGAGTGGGCCCAGTAACGTCTCCGTTTTGAGACTCGTTTTTACTGTGTTTGGCATATTGAATACATCATGGGTAGCTTGCCAGGCTTTGCCGTGCGGGTGAAATACTCTCGGTAGCTTGCTGGGCTCTCCGAGAGGGGTGGAGAATTGAACCCGGCTCGGCTGGGCTGGCTGCTTGCAAGGCAAACGCCCCACCGCTGTGCTATCCATATATATCAAATTTTATAACCTTATTTTTCCTAACTGCTGCATAGTATTCCATTGTGTAGGTGTACACATAGTTTCTTTATCCCTTCGTCTGTTCCCAGGCACTCAGGTTGTTTCCAGATTCTGGCTATTGTGAATAATGAACTTAGAAGCACAGATGGTGTTTCTGCGGTGTGGTTTTGGGCACCCAAGGTAAGTTTCTAGAAGTGGTATAGCTGGGTCAAATGGGAGCTCAACTTCTAGCTCCAAACCTTTTGAGAAATGCCACTTGTTTCTCTGAGTTGACCAGCGGGGGAAAGAGAATGCAATAGCAAGGGGTGGGGTGAGATAAGAGAGTCATGGAGGAGGAGGAGGAGGAAATGAAAAGAGAGTGCAGGGTAAAATAAAGGGTGTTGGGAGGATCCTCCCAGGATGGGAGAAGCATGCTGAAAGTAGACTATAGACCACACATGATTGCCACTCTATGCCTCTCTTGCAAACCATAGGACCCAAAAGGAGAGAGAGAGAGAGCAAAAGGGAATGCCCTGCCACAGAGGCAGGGTGGGATGGGGGGACAGGGGGTGGGTGGGAGGGATACTGGGACCCGTGGTGGTGGAGGATGGGCACTGGTGGAGGGATGGGTACTTGGTCATTGTATAATTGAAACTCAAGCACAAAATCTGTAAGTCTACAACTGTACCTCATGGTGTCTCACTAATAAAAATAAACAACAACAACTATAAAACAAACTGCCCCAGGTCTGCAAGACAGTACAGCAGGTGGCTACTTGCCCTGCATGTGGTTGGCCTGGGTTCAATCTCCAGCACTCATATGGTCCCCGGTACCCCGACAGAGCCAGGGGTAAGCCCTGACCACCACCAACAAAGTGGCCCAATATTCCTCTCTCCCTCAAACATAACAAACAGCTCCAAAAAGCTGCAGGTTCCACCCATTCAACTGAAGCACAAGGGTGGCATCAGAGGCAGCAGAAGCTTTGGATGGAACTGTGAAAGTCAACTGATGCATGGAAAAGAGCAGGCACAGTGGACACTGTAGGCAAGGAGGTGCGGGAGGGCTTCTCAGAGGAGGTGACCCTGGGTGTGGGCGTTGTAGGATGTGCATGGTTTCCTAGGTGGGAGGAGCCGGTGCTCCAACAGCAGGACGGACCTGTGCCAACACATTCCAAAAGCCAAAAGCCTCCTGCTCCCAACCTGCCCAGCAGTGAGACCCTAGTGGAATGTGTGGTGTGGAATGTGTGATGTGTGTGTGTGTGTGTTTGGGGAGGGGTGTCAGGAAGATCGGGCATTGGATCTAAGGCTACAGGGAGGAAATTAATTTCCTGAGGTGACCGGAGTAACCGGGCAGTTTCTCCTTTCTGAAGGACGAGACAGGCCTGGCACGAGGAAGCCTGAGAGGCTGATTGGGTGGATGTGTGTGCCTGGTGGTGCTTTCTGAATTTCACTTTCTGTTTTGCTTTACTTTCTGTCAGATAGGGGTGTTGTTATCAACAGGCAGTTGGCCCGAGGCTGCACAGTAACTGGGCTGTTTCTCCTTTCTGAAGGAGGAGACAGGCCTGGCACGAGGAAGCCTGAGAGGCTGATTGGGTGGATGTGTGTGCCTGCTGGTGCTTTCTGAATTTCACTTTCTGTTTTGCTTTACTTTCCGTCAGATAGGGGTGTTGTTATCCACAGGCAGTTGGCCCGAGGCTGCACCTGAGCGCCTGGATCCAGATCCCAACCGCTAAGAGCCCCTGGATCCAAATCCCAACCACCAAGAGACCCTGGTAAGCTGGCAAGAGGCCCCTCCCTGCCCCTCGCCCACCCTGAACTTCTCACCCCCATCCTTGCAACCCACGCTCAGAAAAGGGGGTCAGTTGACTGTTCATGGACAAGGACATGAGCCTGGTGAGGCAGAGGCAGAGGCTGGATTTGAACCCAGGTCTGTGTGACCACTGCCCCTGCCCTATGCCTTAAAAAGAGAGAGGGGGCTCAGCTGGGGTCAGCAGGACACCCCAACATCCCATGTCCCTGAGTCCCTGAGACTAGTGATCTCAGCAGGCACGTGGATGGTGTGAATGTGGGGGGCTCTTCCCTTTGGGAATTTGGAGGCAGCGGAGGAGGAGCAGGAGGAGGAGGGTGGGGGAGTCTGAACCTCTCCCCACTGTGCTCTGGACCCTGGGACTCCTGGACCCTGCTGACCAGGGTGGGGGAGGGCGGGGACAAAGGATTTCTGTCAAGACTCAGGGATCACGTTGTCCCTGAGATCCCAGAACTCAGGCTTGGTTTTACCCACCCAAGTATGGGCGCCTGCTCAGTGCTAGGTCCTGAGGGAAACTGAGGCCGAGGAGGGGAGTGACTTTCCTGGGGTCCCATGAGGGAGAGGAAGTGGGAGATGACAGGGATCTCCCATCAACCACTCTCTGAGGTGAGGGGACCATGGGAGTGAAGGGGTCAGAGCAGACCTGTGTGCCCGGGATCCAGGAGCTGCCCGGGGGAGGTGGGGGGGCCCCACTGCTGACACCCCCATATTTACCCTATCTTGGGGCTTTTGCTTTTTGACCATGAATAAAAAGGAGCTTAACAGCAGCACAGCCCTCCTCCCTGTGCCTGGGGGAGACCCCAAAAGAAAGAGATTCCTGCAGGTGGGTCAGAGGCCCCAATAAACAAGTTTAGCAAAAACTGAAGGCGAGAGCCCTGAAAGAGGAAGGGAGGAGGGGTGTAGCCAGAGACGCATCGGAAGCGGGACTAGGACCGTTTTTTTTTGCACGCGACGGTGCCTGAGGGAGTTGCATGCACCTAGACCTCTGCACAGCTCACAGTACCCCAACAGAAAGCCATCAGGTTTCTGAACCACTTCTTGGAAATGGTCTTCAAAAAAAAATTTTTTTTTAATTGAATTATGGGTGAGATGCACCCTTTACAAAGTTGTTCACGATTGGGTTTCAGGCAATATTCTAACATCCGTCCCTTCACCAGTGCACATTTGCCACCACCAACGTGAAATGATCTATTATTATTATTATTGTTGTTGTTGTTGTTGTTGTTTTATTTTTAACCAAGATTTGGACAATGGTGCATTTGCCAAAAGTCCCCTGAGTTCTGCTGTCAGGGTCCAGGGTTGATTTCACCCACCACGGTCCATCCCCACTCTTTGTTCCTTTATATATCTCAGGGGAGTGAGGTCATTGAGATTGGACCTTTCCCTCTAATTGAGTTAATGTAAGACTCCCAATAGTTTCAGGGGTGCTGAACCAAAAGCAAGGATTTTGTCTGACAGCCGAGGAGAGTCCCACGGTGCCTATATTCCACGTCTTTACGCCCTCATCGGGCACTGGGGTTGTTCTCAGATCTTGGCTGTCATAAGCATCGCTGGGATAGAATTGGTGGATTTTGTGGAAATTCTTATTTCTTTTTCTTTTCTTTTGAGTCACACCTGCTGACGCATAGGGATTCCTCCTGGCTTTGAACTCAGGAATTACTCCTGGCGGTGCTTGGGGGACCATATGGGATGCTGGGAATGGAACCCAGGTTGGGCGCATGCAAGGTCAATGCCCTCCCAGCTGTGCTATCGCTCTAGCCCTTCCCCCTCCCACTTTTTTTTTTTTTGGAAGAGGAAGGCTTCCTCTTTTTTTTTTTTTATTTTTGCTTTTTGGGTCACATCCAGCGATGTTCAGAGGTTGAAAAATTTTTTTTTCATTCTGCAAGTTCCTTTATTGCTTTGCTTCTTTCTTACATTTTATGTTTTTTCTGCTTCTCACATTTATACTTTTTCACATCTGTTTTTTCTCCTTCTGAGTCATATTTCCTCCTTGACTTTCACAAAAGACTGATTAGTATCCTTACAGAAATGACTTATCAGCTGTAATAACTTTAGCTACTGTTTGCCTGAAAATGTTTTTTTTTTCTTTTCTTTTTTTGAATCACCATGCGATACAGTTACAAAACTTTCATGTTTGAGTTTTAGTCAGACAATGATCGGACACCCATCCCTCCACCAATGCACATTTTCCACCACCAACGTCCCCAGTATCCCCCTCCTCAATCCAGTCCAATCCCACCCTCCCCCTGCCTCTATGGCAGACAATTTACCCCATACTCTCTGATTTTGGGTGAAAATGTTTTTTTTTTAAAATTATTCCTTCAATTCTGAATGATAATTTGAAAAACATCTCCCCTTCCTCATCTCCTCCCCCCCCCAAAGAGAAATAAATGAGCTGACCAATACAATAGCTTATGTAAAAAAAGCATACAATAGCATGTGTTGGACATATAATTAAAAAAAAAAACTAAGGGGCTGGAGCAATAGCACAGTGTGGAGGGCGTTTGCCTTGCACACGGCTGACCCGGGTTCAATTCCCAGCAATTCCCATATGGTTCCCCTGAGCACCACCAGGAGTAATTCCTGAGTGCAGAGCCAGGAGTAAACCTTGTGCGTCGCCGGGTGCAACCCAAAAAGCAAAATAAATTATCAAAGAAATAAAATAAAAATTAAAAAACAAAAAAATTTAAAAAACAAAACTGAAACTCATTCAGTGACCTCAAGGACAAAAATAGAGAACACTATCCCAGAGGAAGAGTATAGGAGTCGTAGCAATAGTGCAATAGTACACTTGTTCTGCACATGACTGACCTGGGTTGGATCTACCCACAGGGTCTTCTGAGACCCCCAGCAGTGATTCCTAAGCACAGAGCCAGGAGTAATCCCTCACCACCGCTGGGTGTGACCATCACCCTCACCAAAATAATTCGAGGATACAGAAAAAGATATTAAGAAAAGATAAAGACAATATGATAGATTTATGGGGCAGCATTAAGAGAAACAACATTGACCTAGGGATTCCAGGGAAGCAAAGAGAGAAAGGGGCAGAAATGCTGTTGGAATGAATACTAGTCAAGAATGCCTTCAATCGGAGATAACCCTGACACCGGAAGCTCAGAGAGTTCCAGAGTAAAAAAAATTTTCTTTTTATGTTTTGCATGCAGAGTCCCAGGTTCTATCTGGGGCAGCCAGAGCTGAGCACTGCAGGGAGTGGTGTTCTTTTCCTACAAAAGAGTAGCTTCTGCTTTATGGCAAGGGTTGGGGTTCAGGATGGATCACGACGGTTACGACTATCCTGTTGTTTGTCGATTGCCTCGAGCAGGCCCCAGTAACGTCTCCTTCATCCTAGCCCTGAGATTTTTTTTAAAAAAGTGCCATATTCAAGGCTCTTTCAGGGTTAGGAGAATGAGAACCATCATTGTTACTGGTATTTGGCATATTGGGTACGCCACGGGGAGTTTGCCAGACTCTGCTGTGTGAGCAGGTTACATTCAGTAGCCTGCCAGTTTGTCCAAAGTAAGAATGAGATAATAAGATGTAATAATAGTAATAATAATAATAATAATAATAATAATAATAAGCGGCCGCGCACTTCCAGGAGCTGGGTTTTGTAGTCTCTGGGTCTTGTCCGTTGATGAGATTACACGGCGCCAGGGGGCCAGTTGGTGGATGTGACCCCTGCCTACTGAAATATGGAGGATCTGGGTGGAGGATGCTCAGCCCCGATCCGAGCAGACTTGGAGATCTCAGCCCTGGGACCCGCATGCCTTTGTTCCTCTGCCGGTACCTTCATGAGTGTGGGGAGTGGTCTCAGCATGGTGGTGGCTGGTTCTGGAGGTCTTTGGCTGCCGGAGCCCTGGTCAGGGTGGGGAGGGAAACTCAACCTGCTCCTCTTCAAGGGGCCCCGGTGAGGACAGCCTGGCACGGGGGCAGGAGACTCTGCGCTGGGTTCAGGTTGGAAACATCTGAATTACGGTTGTGGGAAGGTGTAACGGTGGTGGGATTGGTGTTCGATTATTAAATGCAATCAGATATTGTGAACTACTTTATAAAAATAAAATAAAGAAAAAAAAGAAACAAAAGAGACAAGTCTGCCGAAGAGCTCCTGTTACTGTTCTTCAAACCATATGTTGGAAAGAAGCAAGGAGGAAAAGCAGAAAAAAGGAGGGAAGAAAAGAAATAAGGAGGAAAGGAAAGGAGGTGTGAAGAGGAAGTGAGGAGGAGAGGAAAGAAGGTGTGAAGGGGAAGGGAGGAAGGGGGGAAGGAAGGAACAAAGGAAGGAAGGAAGGAAGGGAGAGAGGGAGGAAGGAAGGTAGGAAGGAAGGAAGCGAGAGAGAGAGGGAGGAAAGAAGGAAGGGAGGGAGGGAGGAAGGAAGGAAGGAAGGAAGGAAGGAAGGAAGGAAGGAAGGAAGGAAGAAAACTCCCAGTCCCCTGGGGCAACTATTTGTTCCCAGAACTGAAACACTCCAGCTGATCCTTGAACTTCCTGATATCTGTGAGCCCTGCAAGTCAAGCAGATCATTTCAGAAATAGGTAAATGAGTAGTGGTTCAAGCGATAGCACAGCGGTAGGGCATTCGCCTTACAAGCGGCCAACATGGCTGACCCGAGTTCGATTCCTCCGCCCCTCTTGGAGAGCCCGGCAAGCTACCGAGAGTATTCGATATGCCAGACACAGTAACAACAAAGTCTCCAATGGAGACGTTACTGGGCCCGCTCGAGCAAAAGGCTAGAAAGGTTAAAAAAATAAAAAAAAAAGGGTCGTGGAAGAATCAAGAACCCTGGAGAATCGAGTGCTGTGTCGAATGAGGGGGCACGCAAGGAGCCAGCACGTCACAGACCCTTCATTATAGTTGCATCTGTCAATGAGTCAACACAGCAGTGCCCAACTTCTCAAGTTTCCAGAACATTCCAGAACTCTCCTCCCATATTTCCTGTGTTTGGTCTGCTGTTTCTATGACTCTCGCATGGCTGTCACCCAGTCTTTCTTCCCACTGTTCCCCACGAAAGGAAAGGACACTGATGGCTGTAGGGTTTAAGAAATCTCTTGATCAAATGGGAGCTCAATTTCTAGTTTATTGAGAAACGTCCATATTGTTTTCCAAAAAGGCTGGACCAGTCGGCATTGACTGGTTAAAGAAATTTTAGTACATCTACACAATAGAATACTTATGAAAGTATTAGAAAAGATAAAAACATGAAATTTGCATGTAAGTGGATGGACATGGAGAGTATCATGCTAAGTGAAATGAGTCAGAGAGAGAGAGGGACAGACATAGAATGACTGCACTCATTTGTGGAGTATAAAGTAACAGTATGGGAGACTAACACCCAAGGATAGTAGAGATAAGGGCCAGGAAGATCACTCCACGGCTTGGAAGCTTGTCTCACATGCTGGGGGAAAAGGCAGCTGGGATAGAGAAGGGACCACTAAGTAAATGATGGTTGGAGAGTTCACTCAGCATGGCAGATGTGTGCTGAAAGTAGACTATGGACCAAACATGATGGCGCTTAGTACCTGCATTGCAAGCCATAACGTTGAGAGAGAGAGAGAGAGAGAGAGAGAGAGAGAGAGAGAGAGAGAGAGAGAGAGACAAAGAGACAGAGAGAGAGATAATGAATGTGCCTGCCACAGAGGCAGGTGTGGGAATAGGTGGGGGTGGTGGAAAGGATACTAGGAACATTAGTGGTAGAGAATGGACACTGGTGGAAGGGTGGGTACTCGATCATTGTATGACTGAAACATAATCGCGAAAGTTTGTAAGTCTCTAACTGTATCACCATGGTGACTCATTGAAATTTTAAAAAATTAAAAAAGAAATCTCTTGAAACAGCAGCAGCAGAGACAGGAGTCAGAGAAACATCGGGGGTTAAGTGTTAGTGTGTATGACCCCCCAGGAAGCAGGGAAGCACAGACCCGTCCCCTTGCTGCCCTTTCTGGCCCAGCTGCTCACAGTCACTTTGTTCCTCCCCACCAGGGTGAAGCCTTGCCTCTGTCCACCCGGACACAGATTGCAGAGTATGGGGGAGCTGGGATGCAGAGACCCTCATGGCACCATGGACCCAGATAATGACTCAGGTATTCAACTATTTCTCCCAAGGCTGGTGCCTACTGGAGACCCTGAACTAAGGGGGTGTCTTGGGCTGAATTAAGGGGGTGTCTTGGGCTGAATTAAGGGGATGTCTTGGGCTGAATTAAGGAGGTGTTGGACTGAATTAAGGGGGTGTCTTGGGCTGAATTAAGGGGGTGTCTTGGGCTGAATTAAGGAGGTGTTGGACTGAATTAAGGGGGTGTCTTGGGCTGAATTAAGGGGGTGTCTCGGGTTGAATTGTGATCTAGAGCAATCAAGAGCTGAAGGCGGGGTGGGAGGTCAGGAGCGACCTAGAAACTCAAAAGGGGCAATGGTGTCTTGAGCACCTGAGGGCCTGGGGGGTGCATCTTCTTCCTGGTCCCTCATCCCGGTCCCCTGGCTGGGTTGTCCACTCTTCCCACCCCTTGTCATCTAGCAAATAGCCCAAATTAAAGTCAGGACAGCCTTCAGGGAGGGGAAAAGCTGGGGCACAGGAGGAAAAGGGCCTTGATGTTGGGAAGAATAGGACACAGGCCTGCAATCTTGCTGGTTTCTTCTACCCTCTGCCCCTTCAAGTTCATGCCCTTGGATGCTGTCCATGAGGCCCTTTAGACTTCTTTTTTTTTTTTTTTTGCTTTTTGGGTCACACCCCGTGATGCACAGGGCTTATTCCCGGTTCTGCACTCAGGAATTACCCCTGCGGTACTCAGGGGACCATATGGGATGCTGGGAATCTAACCTGGGTTGGCCGCGTGCAAGGCAAACGCCCTACCCGCTGTCCTATTGCTCCAGCCCCTAGACTTCTTTTTAATGGTAAGTGGGTCGTAACACTGGACCAAGTTCGATATTTACTGCCTGGAAGTGGCTGGAGCACATATGTAATCTCACCTCAATATATTCCTTCTGCGGATATATTGAGGATCCATTCTGTTTCCATAAATTAAGTTCTGAGCATCAACTATACTGGAGGTACACAGCCTGGTTCCTCTCTGTCACCAAGTCATGTCTGTGTTCCCTTTGTCTGATGGCCATCCCCTCTCTCCCAGCTCCCACCGGGCCTGTGCATCTTCATAACAGATGTGACAGCCTCAGGTGGCTGCCACCTGTTCTCATCTCCAGGTGTCTGCACAGTTCTCAGCTCCCAATAATAGACAATGTCGTTGGCGAGTACCTTTGCCAAATCCCTGGTTTCCTCTCTAACTGATTAGGACCAATATCAAACCTAAGCAGCTCTGCACCCACCCTTATCCACAATGCTTTCCAAAGTTCTGTTTCTCGGGACTGTCTCTCTCTGTGTGTCTCTGTCTCTCTCTGTCTCTGTCTCTGTGTCTCTGTCTCTCTCTGTCTCCGTGTCTCCCTCTCTCTCTTTCTCTCTCTCCCTCTCTGCCTTTCTGTCTCTCTCTGTCTCTTTGTCCCTTTGTTTCCCTCTCTCTGTCTCCCTCTCTCCCTCTCTCTTTCTCTTTTTCTCTCTCCCCTCCCAGGATCCCCTGGGATGCAGAGGTTGCTGACTCAGTTACCTTGAAGATGGAAGAGAGAGGAGGAGTGAGTATAGGTTGGAAGCAGGACCCCCAATAGCCCCGGGTCCTTGCTGGAGGCTTCCTGGGACACATCCTCCCCCAGATACAAGGAGATCTTGGGGGCCAGAGAGATATTACGGGGATTTAAGTGTTTTTCTTGCGTGCGACCAACTCTGGCCATGCAGGTTCCTGGAGCACCGCCAGGAATGACCCAGTACTCTTGAGTACTGCTGCTGGATATGAACCAATCTTTCTCTCAGCTCCCTCGCAAAAGAAACAGTGATCTTTTGTCAAGTTTGTGGGCCAGCAGGGGTGAGGGGTGACAGTGGGGAGCTGGAGAGGAGGTGATAAGAGCTGAACCCAAAGGTCAAAGCTGAGGGTCTGGCCCCACACCTGCAGAATGTCTCTCCTCTGCCCATCTGAAGAGAACATGACAAGCAGAAGGAATCCTTTCTTCATGGTTGTGGCACACACTGGGTATAGTTTGCCACATTCTTTTAAAATCAAACAATAGTAATAAGTCCATATATATATGCTATAAGTAAGCCAGAAATCAAGTGCTTAATAATTTTTTAAAATTGAATCACAGTGAGAGACACAGTTCCAAGGTTGTTCATATTGAGTTTCAGTCATACAATGTTCCAAGACCCATCCCTTCACCAGTGTACATTTCCTACCACCCATGTCCCTGTGGGTGGCAGGCAGTACTTTTATTAATTTATTTTTTTGCTTTTTTGGGTTATACCCGGCGATGCACAGGGTTACTCTTGGCTCTACACTCAGGAATTATTCCTGGTGGTGCTCAGAGGACTATATGGGATACTGGAGATTGAACCTGGATTGACTGTGTGCAAGGCAAACGCCCTACCCGCTGTGCTATTGGTCCAGCTCAAGGCAGTACTTTTAAAATATAGGGAGATTTCACTGGAATGTCACAAAGACAACTGACAATTCCTTGGATTAATTCCTGAGCTTCCCATTTGTTGGCGGAGTGGTCCCTTATCCTATCTAAGTCTTACTTTTCTCTCTGTGAAATAAGTATAAGTCTTAGAGCTAAAGAGATAGTACAAGGGTCAATGAGACTGCCAGTCTTGCATGGAACTGATGCTGATTTGAAGCCCCAGACCACATATGGCACCCTGAGCACCTGAAAAGGTCCCTCCTGAGCATAGAGCCAGGAATAGCTCATGAGCACTTCTGGGTGTAGCCAATCTACCCCCCAAATGAAAAAAAAATAGAAAAGAGAATAGCTTTTTGTTTTATACAGCAGAAAATGTCATGATTTCTCTCTCTCTCTCTCTCTCTCTCTCTCTCTCTCTCTCAGACGCACACACACACACACACACACACACACACACACACACTCACCCATAGTCTCCTAGCTGCAATTCTGTTGTCTCCAAATCCATAAGAATCTTATGCTTTCTTCCTCAAACTGACCTTGATCAGCTCTGGTTCTGAGGCTGAGCTTGTTTGCTGTTGATACCGCATTTCTCCCATTTCCCGCAAACATGGACACACTTGTGCCATCTGCTCTAGTGGGATACACCAAGGTACCTGCAGGCTCCTTCTAAAGGATGACAGACTATCCATCCCTAACCACACAGAGAGGCAGACACAATATCATGAGATCTGGTGTCTGGAGGTCCAAGATCAAGGAGTTGGCAGAGTTGATGTCTATTGAGGACTCACTTACTGAATAGCAGATGGCCACCTTCCCTCTCTCCTGCCCTGGCCTCTCCTCTGTTTGTGGGGAGAGGTGGGGACAGTATTTCTCCTTTTGCCACAAGCATTTGGGTCTTAATGGATTAAGATCAGAATTCTATGATTCAATTGACCTTCTATCCAAACATACCCACATCAGGGGCAGGATACTAATATCGGAATTAAGGGAAGAATGTATGTTTCATTTTATGACACCAAATAATTCCATCAGCAGTGCTTAGGGGATGGGTCCATGGAAGTACCTTAGACTCAAAACTTGGTCAATTCCACCACCATTTACTTTCACCTTATTCTTATTTTCTAGAGGGTGGCAACCTTTTCGAAGATGCTTTCCAGTATATCCTGGACACAATGAGCGAAGAAAAATTGCTATCCCTGATAACAGAGGATGAAGTCTTGGAGAATCTTGAGGCTGAGAAGGATTTTTCCAAGTACGATAAGGGGTGGGGGGTGGGGGATGGAGTGTCACTCACCCATCTTGACATATGAGCCTAATTTCCTCTGGGGATGGCAGAGACCTGTGTTTGGGTGGTAAATGTTCGTCGCAACATTCCATGAGGAATATGTCCTCTGTATCATTTCCTCACAGTAACTGTCCTGGGTTGAGAAGAGACGAGGACTGTAGGTGGCAGATTAGCAATTTGGGTCAAGTAACCAAACTGTCTATCAGAGGTCACTCTCCCCTAGATCACTCATTTTTGACAGCAACTCCAAATTTGAGGGGGGAGATGTCCATCAGATCTCCATTTGGTGTGGTTTCCCTAAAATTTAGAGCTAAATTCACTGAGGCTGTATGTAGTAAACAGATTCAGTTTACTACACAGAAAGGAGGCAGAGTCTGATAGGGATTCAGATGTGACACTTTCCTTGTCCTCAGGAGCCATCACTGTTCCATATTCAATATGGGACAAAAAATGGAGTGACATCAAACCACAACACCCAATAAAAGAGAGAGAACAAAAGGGAATGCCCTGCCACAGATGCAGGGTGGGATGTGGGGGATGGGGGGTGGGAGGGATACTGGGATCCGTGGTGGTGGGAAATGGGCACTGGTGGAGGGATGGGTATTTGATCATTGTATAATTGAAATCCAATCACAAAAATTTGTAAGTCTACAACTGTACCTCATGATGTCTCACTAATAAAAAAAAATGGAGTGACATCATGAAGAGATGTCAACCACAGACTATCCACAGATCTTATCTAGGTCCTCTAATCCTTTCCAAAGGTGAGACGAGTACCACATGACAATATTCATTATGGTATGTCCACCAATGCAGCTCCTGCTGTATACTCACCTTGTTAGTGCATCCAATGTCAAAAGTCTCAAGCAAAAGAAAACTCAAATCAGTGAGGACATCTAGGGACCCAGATATCATTTTCCAAGACTTCAGCGCAAAGGACAGATCCACCGATAGGTCTATAGTCGACCTAATTTTTCTCACAGCATATTATGTTCTCTGAATGAAAGAGTCTACACTGGGATTCTTTCTCTTTGTTTACACGAAGTTCCCATTCTACAAACACCTGCAGTGATTATGGTATTATTTTGACCTAGGTGGTTCTTTATTAAATACCTACTACTTAGGAGTATCTTTATTCTTTTAATTTATTTATTTATTATTTATTGAATCACCATGAGAACAGTCACAAAGCCTTTCAGTTCAAGTCTTGGTCGGTCATACAATGATCAAACACCCATCCCTTCACCAGTGCACATTTTCCACCACCAAGAACCCCAGTATACCCCCCTCCCACCACCCCCCTGCCTGTATGGCAGATTTCCACTTTAGTCTCTCTCTTTACTTTGATCACATTCAATATTAAGACAAAAGACTCAACATTGTTATTTGGAATTTTCCCAAACATTCAGACCTGCCACAAAGATATCATTAGAGAATTTGTTTTTTCTTGCTGATTATGAAGAGCATATGATGTCGTGTGGCCACAATAGTGGCCACGCAAATTTGGATTTCGGATATTTTAGTAATAAACCTAGAGGGATTACTTCCAGAAGCCCCTGGGTTCCGAGATTGGTATGTATGCCTCTGGGATCATGGTTGGTCAGAAGTTGGAGGAGGCATTTGAGGATGGCAACCTGGAGCATTGTCATGGCGGGGAGCAGGGCCGATTCCACTCCCATCCCATGAAGCCCCACGTGCCTTGTCAATGCAGTCTCATACCTGGCTGTTCATTAGGCTCTAAAAGATGCAGGGCACCATGTTGCCACCACAGAAGGGGACAGGCAGAGGGACAGACACCCTTCCCCTCCCAGGGCAGCATAGCACCATAGTTAAATACACAGTCCAGATGTATTTGGGTTGGGCTCAGATTTTCCCACCACCATTCAAACCTGATTTCCAGGGACAAATGCTAGATCATTTACTTTCTATTGATCACTTTGCATATCAGAAAATGTTGCGGGGCCGCATAAGTGGCCGCACGGTTTGGAAAATAGTCCTGGTACCCTCATGCCAGAGCCCTGCTTGTAGAAGCTCATGGCCACCGGGATTCCATCTGGAGAAGGCGGGAGACAGCCCCTACCCCATCTGGGACCTCCCGGTGATATTGGCTCTGGATGGGGCCTGGAGAATTCTCCGGGAGCTGTGGGGCCCTCTAGCCGGTTTTTTTCTTCACGGCTGTGTGCTGTAAGATGGCGCTGGGGGTGGGTTGTTGGCGTGACTTCCAGAATCAGAGGTTGCCTGGGAGCCGGATTGGCCCCATTGCAGTTCAGAAAATAGTCCTGGCACCCCCATGCCAAAGCCCTGCTTATAGAAGCTCATGGTCACCAGGATTCCATCTGGAGAAGGTGTATTTATTTGTTTTTTTATGAATCACCGTGAGGTACAGTTACAGACTTACAAACTTTTCTGCTTATGTTTCAGTCATACAATGATCGAGTACTCATCTCTAGGAGTATCTTTAGATAATGTAATCTTTAGATTATTTATTTATTTATTTTCTGTCTGAATAAGTAAAATTTGGACCTACTCATGTATGAAACGTATTTAATGCCAATTAAAGAATTCCTTATATTTCTCAAATTCCGTTTGGTTGATAGATTAGGATCTGTGACTTATGAAGGATAGAACTTACCTGAACCACAATAGAGAAGATAAAATTGCCTGTTAATAACCCACCTTTATTGTTTCAGGGATGAGGGTCTTGGCAGTCCGAAAACAGAAATGGAAGAAAAGGAAGACACAGAAAATAAGGAGACAATGCAAGAAATGGACACCATGGAAGGCAAAAGTGAAAACCAACAGGTTCAGGAGTTCATGGAGAGGTTTTTGAAAGAGTTTCCTGAGGTGAAAAGCAAACTTGAGGGGCAAATAGCACAGCTCCGGGCACTGGCAGACAAGGCCGACAAGGTACACAGAGACTGTACCATCTCCAATATAGTGACCAACTCCGCCAACATTGTGTCTGGCATCCTGACCATCATTGGCATGGGTCTGGCACCTGTGACGGCTGGGGCAAGTCTAGCATTGTCAGCAACAGGGGTGGGACTGGGGATGGCATCTAATGTGACAGGTGTGTGTACCGCCATTGCGGAACACTCAATCAAATCCTCTATAAAAACTAAAGCCAATAATTTGGAGTCAGTTAAAATCAACACAGGGGAGATAATTAAGGAAGTTCTTCAGGATGGTGCTCCAAAAGTTATATCTGTAGCAACTGGTTGTGCTAAAGATGGAGAAAAGATTATGAAGAGCATCAATGCCATCAAGTTGATCCAAGCCAGCCCTAGGCTAGCATCCCAAGTCACACGTTTCATGAATGCTGGGAAAGTATCAATCCAAAGTGGTGATCAGGTGCAGAAATTTTTTGAAGGCACGGTTCTGGCTATGACCAAATGAGCCCGTTTCATGGGTGTGACCATGGCAGGCATCTCCATTCTGACTGGTATGGCCAGTCTTGTGAAAGAGTCAGTAGACTTGCATAAGGGATCAAAGACAAGTTCATCTGAGAAAATGAGGCAGGATGCTCAGGAGTTGGAGAAGAAGTTGGAGGACCTCATAGACTTTCATGCATATCTGCTTGGTTCTGACTTTGTAACCCCAGATGAGCATGGGGAGCAGAGGCCCATCCAGGAGAAAGGCATGGAAACAACTTTTGGAGAAAAAAAGAGGGTGAGATGAAGATTATAAAATTGGTGTTATGGCGTTTTGACATTCATGTCAAAGTATGCAGAGACAGGCAATGCGTAAGGATGGTGAGTCAAAGACAAATCAGGAACATGGAATCTGAAATAAGGGAGGGGAGGAGGACTAGAGAGTGTAGGGTTAATGGAGAAACTATTTTGGACCAAGGAAGACTTCAGGGCATGAATAAAGAGGCTTGGAGAATGCACCAGGAGGGGCGAACAATATGAATGAGTTGAAAATGGGGAGAAAATTGGAGAGCAACAATGCTTTGAGTATGGATTACAACAAAGGTGATTCCTCTTTTGACGCTCCCCATGGTTTCATGCCTCAAACAATAAAGAATTCATTCCCTAGTATTTGTCTTTTGTGCGACCTTTTCAGTATCATTCACCATTGCCTTTCAGAAGGTTTATCTTAGTCAGGCTATAACTTGTTTATCTAGATGATGGTAGTCATGATTTTGATAGTGGTTTGGTGGTGTTAGTCATGGTAGGGGTAATGACAATTGAATGGACATAAAAATAGTCAAATCTTATTTATTTCATTTTTATTTTTTGCTTTTTGGGTCACACCCGGCGATGCTCAGGGGTTACTCCTGGCTTTGCACTCAGGAATCACTCCTGGCAGTGGCCGGGGGACCATATGGGATGCTGGGAGTTAAACCCGGGTTGGCCGCATACAAGGCAAATGCCCTACCCGCTGTGCTATCACTCCAGTCCCCAAAAATAGTCAAATCTTTCGTGCTTTTTTGGACCATGGTGCACTGATAGCCAATGGCTTTGAATAGAATTTTGAATTCTGTTGGGAATACTAGTTGTTTAAGAAAAAGGAGAAACGAATTCAGATGATGGTGCATGTCACAGTTTCCATATCAAGACCAACTTGCTTGCATAAAGACACACACACATAAGGCCTCAGTTTTCTTGTTAGACAGGCAGCATATTGAATTAGAGAATATTCAATGTCTGCATGGTTTTCGCCATTGGTTTTATAAAGATGGGTCCAGTAAACATGGTGATATTATGAGTTTTTATTGGGTCACCTGATGAACTCACATGAATTCTAGATTATACATGTGTTTATGATGCTTCTTCAGATTAGAAGAGCTAATTTTCTGGTGCGAGAGGGACAGAAATAAAACAAATGGACAGAGGAAGAAAACACTATACAGCAAAGTCCTACAACTTAAGTATATCCACAAGATCTACTCACGTTTTACTTATGCTCCTGTGATTGCTTCCGAGGGCATCTTCCAGGTTTTTGCCAGAGTTACCGGCTCTTGTTTCTTATCACCATCCACACTGTATCAGAATGACCCTTAAAATATATAAGGATGTTGTAGCACTGTAGCACTGTCCTCCTGTTGTTCATCGATTTGCTCGAGCAGGCACGAGTAACGTCTCACAAATTGTGAGACATGTTGTTACTGTTTTTCGATGCATATCGAATACATCATGGGTAGCTTGCCAGGCTTTGCCGAGTGGGGGATATACTCTTGGTAGCTTGATGGGCTCTCCGAGAGGGGCAGAGGAATCGAACCTGGGTTGGTTATGTGCAAGGCAAACGCCCTACCCGCTGTGCTATTGTTGTGTTTTTTTTTTCCTTTTAATTTTTTTTCATTTGGTCATCCAGTTGGGTGACTGCATCTTCCAGAACACTCTGAGGAGCTTTTATGGGAGGTTCTCAGATTCATTCTCTGCAGAGAGGCAGAGGAAAGCAAATTCATTCCTTGGATCCTCACTTCCATTCCCCATGGACTTCCTATGCATCTTCTGTGCCCTTCTGTTAGTGTTGAGCATCATTCCCAAACAGGTTTTCATGACCAGAGCGTGTGCAAGTAACAAGAGACAAGGAACATGAAAATCTTCCAAGCCACTCACAAAGTAACAAGAAACAAGGAATATGAAAATCTTCCAAGCCACTCACAAAGTGATCTAGTGCTTAACCTAATATCTATTACAGGCTGGAGCGATAGCACAGTGGGTAAGGCGTTTGCCTTGCAAGTGGCCTATGTGGCCGACCCGAGTTCGATTCCTCCGCCCCTCTCGGAGAGCCCGGCAAGCTACTGAGAGTATCTCACCCATATGGCAAAGTCTGGCAAGCTCCCCGTGACGTATTCAATATGCCAAACACAGTAAAAACAAGTCTCACGATGGAGATGTTACTGGGCCCACTCGAGCAAATCGATGAACAGTGGGAGGACCGTGACCGTGACTGCATTGCAAAAGCCTTCTCTTCAACCTTTGATTCTCTAGAATTCACCCTTCCCTGCATCTTCCTTTCTTCCTGAAGAGATCAATAGTGTCATGGCCACTCACTTTTCCATCTATCTGAACAATTTATTTAATCTCCTAGTCAATGCTTCATCAGTCTTTGGATAATTCATGTTCTTTCTTGAGCTCAGTTAGAGAATGAATGCATCAGATAATGAACCATTGACTCATCTGATCATTGAATCACTGAATCATTGAATCATCAACCCTTTTACCAAGCACTCTTGGAGTTCAATCTCATTATTCTTTGAGGGGATTTAATGCTATTCTAATTTAATATATCTATTGGTTGAAATTCCTTTGGTTATGAGCAACAGAAATGGAGTCTGGCTGACATGAGAAAAATGATGTTTTTTTTCTGCTAGGGTCAAGCACATGTACCTTAATATGCCCAATAAATGTTTCAAGTTCCCAGGAGGCAGAGAAGTTAGGGTAGAGTGAATATAGTGTTGAGTCAAGTAAGTATAAGTGGGACCTTTGGGAACAGGAGTAGGCAAAAGTGAGACCTTGGATACTTGTGGTCAAGCCCAGGTCTTGTCACAGCATCAGCTTTATTCCCTTCCCTAAAATATTGTGGGGGCAAGAGACAGTAGTGACTGAGCAAGCTAGCTGGGCATGCAGTTAGCTGAGTGATGCTGCTAGCAGCTGTGTCCCGCTGGGACATGCCCAGCAAGATGAGGGAGAGCAGAGGAAATGTTACGGTTGCTACGAGTGACCTAATTCTATGCTAAAACTGAGACAGACAAGCGTTGCGTGGATCTTATGAAAAATGTTTATGAGTAGATGCACTTTGCAGAGTTAACAGAGTAGCTTCAATCTATCTATCTGTCTATCTATCTATCTATCTATCTATCTATCTATCTCTATTGTTTTGGGGCCACACCCCATGCTGCTCAGGATTTACTCCTGGCTCTGCACTCAGGAATCAGACCTGGCAGGTTCAGGGGATCATATGAGATGCTGAAGATTGAATCCAGGTTGTCCACATGCAAGGCAAGTGCCCTACATGGTGCTGTTCTCTCTCTCTAGCTCAGCAGAGTAGCTTTTTTTTTGGGGTCACACCCAGCGATGCTCAGGGGTTATTCCTGGCTCTGCACTCAGGAATTACTCCTGGCGGTGCTTGGGGGACCATATGGGATGCCAGGGATCGAACCCAGGTCGGCTGCATGCAAGGCAAACACCCTACCCACTATGCTATCACTCCAGCCCCAGCAGAGTAGCTTTTACGTGGGTTACATTTAAACATGTGAATTGAAGTTTTGGGATTCTGTTTGCACATGTAGATCTAAACATCTATACGCTTAGACATCTGATAGTCATAGGCTGCCCCTGGGCTCGGAGCGAGTAAGGGGAGCACAGAACCAGCGGGGAGCCCCAAGACTTCTAGAGAGTCAAAGGGAGCCTAACATCACAGAGCTGGAATGAGCACAGATGTGTGACTGTAATAAATAATCAAAAAAAATGGGGGGACAGAGTGATAGTGATAGTGAGAGCAGTTGCCCTGCATACTGCCAACCTGGGTTTGATCATTGGCATCCCATATGGTTTCCCTAGCTCTGCCAGGAGTAATTCCTGAGCAACAAGCCAGGAATTACTCTTGAGTGCCGAGTGCCGCTGTGTGTGACCCAACCCCTCACCCCTCAAAAAGAGAATGTCAAGACTGATGCATTTTTTGCCTCTTTTGCAAACCACAGCATCCAAAAGGAGAGAAAGAACAAAAGGAAATGCCCTGCCACAGAGGCAGGGTGGGATGAGGGGGATAGGGGGTGGGAGGGATACTGGGATCAGTCATGGTGGAGAATGGGCACTGGTGGGAGGGATGGGTGTTCGATCATTGTATAACTGAAACTAAGTCTACAATTGTACCTCATGGTGTTTCATTAATAAAAATTAAAAAAAAAAGGATGCATTTTCTCCTTCATGGCTGCTCTCTTCCTTTGATTGCTTTGACTCCTGGTTCTGAATCCCAGAATGTGCAGGTTACTCCACAAGTCAGAAGGCAGAGGGGCTGGAGTGATAGGACAGTGGGGAGGGCCCTTGGCAGGTGGCCAACCGGGTTCAATTCCTGCCCCCCCCCCCCCCAAGTTCCCCTAAGCACCACCAGACTGATGTCTGAATACAGAGTCAGGAGTAACCCTTGAGTACAGTTGGGTGTGGCCCCAATCCCCCCCCCCCCCCCAAATTAAAGATATTTAAAAATAGAGAGCAGAACCCATGGACCTGTGATAGTGTGATTTCAGTGGCCCTCCATGGCTGGGGCAAAACACTGTCAAGGCCCAAGTCCATGAAGCACGTTTCACATTGTGGTGCTACCCCCAGCCTCACCCCTTTCAGGAACTTTCTTATCTTTCCAAGCTGGGTCTCCTTTAAAAGCTCCTTAGCCTGGAGGCAACCACCATTCTAATTCATATGCCTGAATTTGACCCCTTGAGGTGTATCCCACAGGTGGAATTTAACAGTGTTACTTCTTCTGTGAAGGTTTATTTCACTTAACATATTTTCTGTGACAAGCTGTTCACTTGAGTTATCCTGAGTAGGATTGGCAGAACACTAGATGAAGGACAACCATGTGAGCAAGCAGGTTTCCGAAAAGGATTCAGCACCATTGACCATATCCACATGATAACCAAGCTCATTCAGGTTTCCCAGGAGTTCATGATGCTGCTCTATATAACGTTCATTGATTTAAAGAAGGCCTTTGATTCTGTTGAGACGGAAGTGGTCATCGAAGCCCTAGCCAATCAGGGCATTCAAACTCAATGCATCAGGATCCTCCGTGAGCTGTATTATGTATTCACTACCAGGATCTCACCATTCTATAAAGAAGTGATCATCGATGTCAAGAGAGGGGTGCGGCAGGGTGATACCATTTCACCGAAACTCTTCAGTGCCACCCTCGAGAATGTCATGTGATGACTGGAATGGGAAGGAATGGGAGTGAAGATATATGGTCGGCAACTGCACCACCTCCGCTTTGCTGATGACATTGTTCTAATAACACCAAACATTAGCCAAGCAGCACAAATGCTGGCCGACTTCGACCG